GCGATCTTTTGACCCATATTCTCTCTCTAACAAGGATCACATGTTGATATATACAGTATCAAATCACACTGTATCGTCATACATATATCGAATGGCGATATAGGGGTGTTGGCTGACGCGGACCGACAACTAAGAACCTGTCAATGTTACCTAGTTAACTAATTAGCATGCTAGCTTGGGAAATGCAATCAGCTCCGACAACTAAGAACCAAGCATTACATATCCCCGACAACTAAGAACCTCTGGAGATACTTTAAACATGTGCTGTGCAGATCCGGACGCCGTGGCTCTACTGCGTTGTACCACCTGGGCGAGAGATTCCATGTTCGGTAGCGTTCTGTTCTGGGATCCTCCTCCGCAAGCAGGGCGGTAGTAAACGAACCAGGTACCACAGCTATAACAAACCATGTATGATCATAATTAAACCATATCATTAACAATAGGGGGGCCGACATCTTATTCTAACTAGCTAACCAACTATAACCGTCCAAAAGCAGTCGAATAAACAATAGGCAGATCCAATCACGGTGAATATGGTATCGCAGTGGCTGATACGAGAATCAGCCCCTTTCGGACCCGGCTCACATCCGTTATGTAAACGTATAATAGAGCCGAGAGCTCGAACATTTCTTAATATTATACTTCATAATACACAGCTACTGATATGTGATACCTGCGGGAGCCCAGAATGTGAGGTTCTTAGTTGTCGGTCACCGGGGGTGTTTGTCGATGGAATCCTCTAGAAAGATTTTCTAATGTAGGGTCCTGGGAAGTGTGGTGTGGTATTTGCAAACTAAAAGTAAGACCCAGACTTAGTTTCAGTTCTAGACGAGTCCTATTTAGGCTCTTATTCTTAAGTGGGCATGTAAGCGATACTTGCTTTCTCTGTAAGAGTGGTGCACTCATAGCAATTATAAATGATTCATACTGGGCACTAAACCTCCGTAATCTTTAAATCATCAGTTTAAATAACACATTTAAAGCAGTTCTTTGGTCGATTAGAAGATTTCCAACACGACAAACATGTCATTAGACTCTGTGTTCTCGTCTTACCATATTGTCATCGGCAAAATCTGTCAGCAGGTCTCTTTTATTTACTTCAAAACTTAGCGCGTTTAGTGGCGCGCGTTTAGTGGCGCGTTTAGTGGCGCGCGTTTAGTGGCACGTATTTTAGCACGTTTAGTGGCGCGCGTTTAGTGGCACGTATTTTAGCACGTTTAGTGGCGCACGTCTTTTTCAAATTTTCCTGAAAGGTTTTTGTTTTGTCTGCAGACAGAGCTGAGAAAGGACTAAGGCTCATGGTAGTCGACGGCGCTAATAACCTTGGTTGTGGTGAACTTAGCATTTTGACATTCACGTATAGTTCCATACGTTCACTACAACTAAGGAATTAACAATAATGAGACGACCCTTTCTCTTACTACACCAATACAGCAACCCGGTAAAGCTATTCTGTGACGGATAAAAGTCTTAAAAGTAAGCTATGAACCGTGCCGTTAATGTCACTTCAGTACGATTGTACAGATCTAATCGTTCTATACGTATCCGGGACGGAGCGGACTACACTCTTAGTAATTCCTTACTAATTCCTCGGTTATATCCTAACTTGTAACAACTTTGCTAAGTAGCCACGTACTCAGTCTTTACTTTCTACTTAGAAAACAAGCATCTTAACAGTCATGACCTCATTCTTAACAGTCTGTAGCTTAGTTTGTACTTGTAGTGGTCGAGCTTGCTTTATTATTAGTTACTCCCTAGTTACTCATAAGTTACTCAATGTGTATTGTGTACTCCCTAGTTACTGCTTAGTTACTTCTAAGTTACTCCCTAGTTACTGGCCACTCTAAACCATCTCATTGTTTACAATCTAACTCAGTGGAGCTGGTCACGACCCTGTGTGATTAGGGCTGGTCGTTACTTGCTTCCTTACAAAACTAGCCCGCTCTAAACATATCTTTGTTACATACATCTGTAAACCTTGTAAACATACACGCTCACTCTCTCCCTCTGCATCTGTACGAGCTGCACAGGTACACTGGTCCTTGGTATTGGTACAGAGTGTAGCTGTCATGGATTACTCAGTGTACTTAGCTGTCTAGACACTTGTTTTTTATATACCACAATTAGTGACTTAGGAGCTCCCAATCTTCCATTATATAATAGTATGAACCATCCCTCTATATATTATTATACCATACCGAGGAAATGTATTGCACATTCTTTGTGTACTGCAGCACATGCTGGAGCATGTACCGTTTAATCAGGGTCTAAGTTTTAAGCTATCTTGTATTTGTTAAAATTTTATGGGAATGGGCTCTGTCTGTGATCACGTGATTTATACAGTCGTAGCCCTATTAATCTGATGTCGATGATTAACCACAGTATATTTTGTCACAACCCATGAACTTTACTGGAACAGCTCCAATGTGGCTGTGCGTGCAATGTAGAATCTAGAAGATTCCAGAAGATTATACATTGTCATATATAATGACACACAATATTTGACAATTCTTGATGAATTGGAATATTTGGTTATGACAGCAGATAGATAGTCAGGGCTACGTTTTCATTATTCAAGCTATTCAGCAATTTTCGCCGTGCCACATAGGCCATTTACGATCTTTGAATTACAATGATCATCTTGTTGAAAATTACAGAATACCGAATGACGTTTTTAGTTCGCAATGTTCGCCTTGAAATAGCGTTGAAAATGGTAGGAAAATTGCGATAATTTTCCTGCTATTTTTTAATTGAGATAGTTGCGAAATTATTGTGTTTTACATTCATCTGTGAGAACCTGATATCGTATTATCGTCAACTGAAAGCACAGTCCTCCCTCTCTTTCTGCCTCCTTCACTTCGTCATACCATGCTTCATTGCAATGACCACACATATGAGCTTTATCTAAATAGGTTAAATACCATTAAGTAATAAGGAACAGACATATAACTACTAAAATGGTCGAATGATCGCTGCAAGCAGATTACCTACTTTACTCGAATGATCGCTGCAAGCAGATTACTTACTTTAAGTTTACTCGTTGATAGTTTAATTGTTTGTGGGTGGAGGTTTAATTGTGGTCGGTGGTTTTCCATATTTCCTTTTATTTTATCTCAAAACTAGCTACGGTTTTATTCTTATTTTTCAGTATCATTATAATTCCACCAACTGAGCATGCTGACCAGTTATAGTAGTGATCATTTGGTCGCGCTGTACGGAGCTTTAAGCATTATATGTCAATCATCTTTGAAGTACAGTGCTGCAAGCTGAGTACATCAGTCAATAACTACTGTATTTTATCCAGTTGAACTACCTTACATATCGAGATACGTTGCTCTAGAGTACAGTGGTGAGCATTACTAATTACAGATGTTGACTATTTGTGCGCGATTATCCCACTCACAGTCACAATGTTTTACATACCTACAGCACATGTTTTACATACCTACAGCACATGTTTTACATACCAGACTAGTTTTTGAGGCCACATTGTTGAGTACAACTATTTACTACAACGTGTTCTGTAGTTTTTGTTGGTAGCAAATATCCGTGATGGTAATTGCATTGTTAGCACAGTCTCGCTTTACCTTTTAGTCAACAAGTCGCAAAGCAAGATATCAGTGATATCTTGCTTTGCGGCTTCTTCACTAGAAGCTCCAGGGTATCCTATGATTATATATATACTTGCGACATGTCCTGTTGACTCCAGTTAAAACGGTAATTGAAGCGATTAATTAATAAGTAATCTAGATAATTTCTGAAATAAATGGTTTGCCGTACTACTACAACTTCATTTAACAAGAGAGAAGAACTGGATACTATTAAACGTTTTATCATAGCTAGTACTGAAGAATTTTAGATATTTTAGTTTCATTCCCTTTTTATTGCATACAGTTTAAGTTTTCTAGCAGTAGTAAGTTTTAATGTTTTTTCACATCTCGCTCACAATCAGTAACCACTCACTATATTTTCACTCACATTGTGTATACACCATCTCACATGTATTGTATCTTTTACCTTATCAATATCATCTGTTATCACTTACATCTTAAATCATCTGTTATCACTGTACATGTCATTCCATCACACGATCACAATCACGTACTTGCTGTTTAGTGGATGTTTTAAGTTTATTGAATAGCAGATCGAGTAGTGTTGTATATATATAGATTTTGATTCTAATTTTAGTCGAGTATTTGAACAATTTGTTGTCGTTTAGCCATTTTTGATTAATAAATTTTATGAGACAGTTTTCTCACATATTTACCAATTTTGTCAGCATGAATAAGAAGTTGTTACTTTGAAACGTCGTTTATCCTAACAGTGCAATATCATTTGTCGCAAATCAGAATAATCAGAAACTATTTGGAAAAACCCAAAAACTGTCTATACAACTTCATTGTTAGTACAGTAAAACCCCGATTTACCGTACAATTTTCTTTTCCTCAGACTGTACGGTATATCGTGGTTTTACTGTATGTCATAATACTGTTTGTCATAATACGTTATTAGTTGCAGCTGTTTCCTGTTTGCTGCTCCACTCCCGGTTAAAACTGAATATTGAGCCTCTCTCTCTGCCTAACTGATAACTTCTTAGAATTATGTGGTCTAAATAAAAAAGTGCTGAGAGATTAACTTTCTGAGACTAGTGAGAGCGTCTTCGTGTTTGCGCCAAGTATCAAGCAGTACATGATATTTGCGTGCGCAATTGTTCTGGAATCTAGATGTGTTAATTAAGATAGAAGATAGTGGTTAGTTCCTAAGTACTAGCAGGCTATTTTACAGTGACGACGTTCAAATACAGCTCATTGGAATATAACATCCTAGCCCAGTAACTACTTTCTTTAATTTAGCTGAGTAAACTGACATTTCTTTGGGTTTTAATTTAGCCGAGTAACTGAAAGCTGAATGTTTTGTCTTTGATTTTTGTAAAATGTTATCTATAATAATCTTATTTTCTCTCGACTACGAGTCAATCACTAACCTACGAACCCCTCCAGATGATGTGATAATGACAACTGAACGACAGCACTACCCTCTGGACGATGGTGAGACGGACTCCAACCCTTACCTCAACATTCCTCCTCAGTATTTCACTAAAGATCCTCCAAAATGCGTCCTTTTTGGCCCTAAATTCTGCCTGAATGTCCCTAAAACATTCATAATCCGAGAGAAAGTCCGCATGAACCGGGACAACTGCTTCAAGGTATACGACCAGCAGAACACTGAGTTCTTCAAGGTAAGCAACCCAATGAAGACGATGCGGGGGAAGCATGTGATCACTGACATAGCAGGGGAGGATCTAGTAAAGCTGAAGAAGAAACTCCTCTCCCTTCACCCCACCTGGCATTTAAACTCCGGACCGAAACTAGAGTCCAGACTTGCAACACTCGTCTTTGAGTTCACCATGTTGAAGAAAAAAGCGCAGTTGTACGTATACGATCACCCATACCCGCATGAAGATGACGACACTAAATACGAACACATGAGACCGGTCCTGTACATCAAATCAGACAGCACAGGGCGCGACTTCAAGGTGTTCGACGAGGTTACCAGCGAGGTGTACGCGGAGGTCTCCAAGAGAGCCATGTCCAGTAACTCAGATGTTCTGGTGGAGCCTGATAATTACTCTGTAACTGTGAACCCTGGAGTGGATGTGCTGTTCATGGTGGCTATTACCCTCATGTACGAGTATGCTCTGTCAGATATCGAGAGTTAGAGTTTAGTGGAAACCAAACTTACAGTTATGTTATTTAGTGCTGCTGATGATGAATCACCTCTCATCTTGAATAAATTAAACCGATATCTGTCGAAGAACTGCCTTTTGAAACAGTAAACTAAATTCATAACTTTTATCAACAGACACTATTTCGATGGATACATTTCATTTTCTGCTAGCTATCTGATAAGCTGACCATATCTTAAATTATTTTGGAGGAATTTTAGGATCAAAGAAACGACGCGAACTTAGCAGTACCCAATTTTAAAAGTGACCTTTTACATGCACTGTTCTGCTTTATTATGACAATATGTTTGCTTAATTCCTATTGATGTCTTGGTTGATATATTACTTAATGATTCATTTAATTATGGACTGCTGTCTCTTAATTCCTCCCTCAGAGTAGGATCCATTATCGAAAAATTATAGAAAATCTAGATTATCGCATATTGAAAATTTAAATTACTGGCACCCTATGATAATATGAACGATTATTCTTTGTAACACACTTGACTTATACCCACCTGAATGTAAACGTGTTTGGCTAGTTTCTCGGTGAATGCGCCGTACCGTCTCACAAACTGGCGGACATCACAGTAGTTGGGAGAGTGTTCCATTTAACGGCCAGGTATGAGGTAGCGTAGTTGGTTAATCATCGGATTTGTAATCGTGAGATTGCGAGTTCGAAACCCACTGCCTGCCTAGTCGTGGGGTGAGTGTCGTCTACATTCAGCTAAAGATCCTGAGTGGTCTATGCAGCCCCCCGGTCTACTCAGCCGAATATTCGAGAAATCGTGTGTGAGGGTTAAATGAGAAGCTGTCCATTGCAGCGAAGTCTCGGGCGAAGAAAGTATGGTACACACTACCTTAACCGTCACTGGCCTAATTAAATCCTTCGGCTTCCTGTAATTGGCTAGTTACACTTGTGTAACAATGTGGCTGTTGGAATACTCCGAAGTAAAATAAGTGTGAGATTTAAAAAAATAGAAAATCTAGATTATCGCATATTGAAAATTTAAATAGCATGATCAGTTTGAATGCTCGGCAAGAGTGATTGTAGCAAATTATAAGTTATTCGACGATGATTTGTTGACCTTATTAAAATCGTAGAAAACATTATCGACTGTGAGTGGAAAGTAAACTGTAAAGTTATGCACAATAATCCTTTATTAAGTTAAATCATCGTAGTCGTACACTTCAAACAAAATCGTTGTAAAAATCAAAAAAATCTCAAACCATAATTACTAACATATATCACGTCACAAGTATTAACATACGTTTTTAAAAGTCAAAACAATAAATCTCAAGATTCAAAACCAGGAAAAGTCAACACCCAAAGATGTAAGGGAATGTCACAAAAATGTAGCCTCTCAGTCCTATCCTTCCGCAAACAATGCAACAAGAAGAATTTACACTCTGTGCTCAAATGTCCGGGTAACTGTAACCCTATATTCCTCGTCAGCACCTGAGCAATACTCTTAAACGGGTCTCTAGCAGAGACCATGACGAATAGAACACACGCCATGCTCCACACCGCACCATCATAGGGCAAGCAGCTCTTATCAGAGTTAAAGTGTTCAGGGGGTAGGTAGAGTAAAGTTCCACTGATGTCTGTGTAACTTTGGGTCAGGGAACCTCGACTGGAACTACCGAAGTCAATAAGTTTCACGTGCCCTGTTCGTTTGTTGATGAGAATGTTCTGGTCCTTTATGTCACGGTGGTGCACTCCCTGGTTGAAACAGTGTCGTACTGCGTTGTAGACCTGTCATTGAAACATTGTTAACGTTAAACATTTTGATACATCCTTACAAGACTTTAAAGCACCTTGTATATTGAAAGTTGGAACTTTAAGATTCATCATGAAAGTCAAAAAGTGATGAAAATGCCAATTGATTGGGCCGGCAAGATTGTTATTCGAATCATTACTGGCACCTGCACCCTATGATAATATGAACGATTATTCTTTGTAACACACTTGACTTATAACCCACCTGAATGTAAACGTGTTTGGCTAGTTTCTCGGTGAATGCGCCGTACCGTCTCACAAACTGGCGGACATCACAGTAGTTGGGAGAGTGTTCCATTACTAGGATCCAGGAGGTAGAGTTGGCCATGTAACCGTGCAGTTCAACTATAAGGATTATTATTAATGTGAAGAGAAAATAGAATTATGAATCCCGAAAAGGTTGCATTTCAACGGTCTAATTTCAGCAGCTATAGAGGATAAAGATAATCGCAGGTGGGCCACAGAAAAAGTACAAATAAGAAACAAAGCTTACCTATGTTAGGATGATCGAGGGTAAGCATGTTAGATATTTCCATAGGTAAAGGAGTCCCGGTCCCCTCCTCCTTATCCCCCCACTTAGTGATATACTTCTTCTTCACTGTCTTGGTAACGTATAACTGCTTTGTAGACCTTCTCTGGACCAGATACACTTCCCCGAACGATCCTGACCCCAGCTTCTTCAGAGGTTTAAAGTGCTTTCTGAAGGAGGATAACAAACTGAGCAAGTAGTCTAGCATGTTGAGAAAAGAGAAACGAGACTCGGTGTGGTGGTCACTGGTCAGTACTGAAGCTACACTGAGTTTATAAGGTGCTGCAGTGAGACTAACTGTCAGTCAGTTAGCATGCTGTCTTGAGAGAATCCACGCGCTTCCAAGTCACTCAGGCCACTAATTGCCTGTCAATAGAACTTTTAATTGGTCACATGACACCTTAAACTCGTCATGTGCCCCATTATCTGTAAGGGAACATTGTGACTAATCACGTGACCCAGTCATGTGTTGAGTAAGCAATTCAAGGTTGCTTGATAGGACGTGTGGAGACAATGAGTTTCAAGGTCTGGGAAGAAAAGCTAATCAAGCAGCCCTGATCGGGAGCTATCACGTGACTCGAGCATGTTTATAGAATATACAACTTATATCGGTAACTGATTAGCTGTTATTAAGTCAGTTTATTGATCTCGTTCAATTGTAATACGATAAGATGACCAGTGCAAAACATATATCTTTTCACCTGTTTAAATCTTTAAATGGACTATCTGAGAATGATACCTCGGTAACCATGGTGTCACCTTGGTAACCATGGCGATACCACGCCGATATACTGAGCTCTCACGTCTGGCTTGTTTATATCATAAGCAATCAGTGAATTAGTAGAAATTAAGCAATTAGTCATGGCAGTCATGATATGACATTGACTATTTCGTGACTCTTGCAAGTTAACAAAGTGTTCATAATCATATTGTAGAGCAACGATTATAATTTTTATAAACTTTATACTTAGAATTGCATTCACATAATATGAAATTTAAATTGAAATACGACTATAAATGTATCCATTTGAATTAATGAAAGTCCCATGATACGAGAACTGTAGAAACAGAAGCTGGAATCCTTTAAGTTTATATACAACCATGAAACGCGATGTTAACCAATTAATTTTTAGTTTGAGAATTTTTTATCCATTACACTGTACACACCAGAGTCCAAAATCGTTAGCAGTGTACGATTAATAAGGCTTCAATGTTGATAAAACTGTCAACGAATTGAAATTTCTAAGCAAAATATGTTGTAAATCAATCAGACCCCGATTCATTTATGAAAAGTCATGCAACCATTACAAACCCCAAACAAATAGAAATAAAATTATTATAAAATATAAAAATCTTAGACGCAGTTTAATTTTTGAAATTGTGATACAAGTACAACCATAATGTGTCTTATATAATTTTCAGTATAGTATTTATTTTCCTTTAGTGGGTCTCTTTTAATCATTAGCTCTAATTAAAGAACCTCTCACCCTCTCAGAATTATTTTTATCTTTTTACTACACTTACTAACACGTGTGCATTACAAAGGAGCAATAGTTTGCGGAGGCATTCTAGAACGGTATATATTTTAGCTTTCAGTTTCTGTTTCATTATCTTAAAATTTATTCCGCTTTTATTTTTATTCCCAATCTCGATTCCTTGCTAGCAGTCCGGTTAATTTAGTACCTTTAGTGGGTCTCTTTTAATCATTAGCTCTAATTAAAGAACCTCTCACCCTCTCAGAATTATTTTTATCTTTTTACTACACTTACTAACACGTGTGCATTACAAAGGAGCAATAGTTTGCGGAGGCATTCTAGAACGGTATATATTTTAGCTTTCAGTTTTTTATTCCGCTTTTATTTTTATTCCCAATCTCGATTCCTTGCTAGCAGTCCGGTTAATTTAGTACCTTTAGTGGGTCTCTTTTAATCATTAGCTCTAAATCTAATTAAAGAACCTCTCACCCTCTCAGAAAATTACGTTAGGAGATATTCCTTATTATGCTCTAAGTTATTAATTTTCCTTGTGTTTGAATCCTGTCACTTTTTAACTGTTTTTAGTCTTTGTTATTTTCGGCCGATTTCTGCACTTTTACACTGGGTCATCATTCATAATTTCTGGGATTGAGACGACTTATATCAGCATTTAAGGAAGAGTTTGCTTGTCTGACTTACTTCATTAGACACTTCTGGTCAAGAACTGAACAAGAACCACATTAAAAAACTGGAACATCTGAATGACTCCGCAACCCAGGAATCAACTACTCAGTTATTATCGCTCAATAATCGGTTTGGTATCGACGTTACATACTTTATTATTTTTTTTAAAAAGCTGATTTTAGAAACCAGGGAATTAAAGTTACCCTCCTAAGGCTAACATTAAATCGCTGATTTTATTTATATATATCATTAATTTTGTTGTTCTTTCTTTTCCTTCAAAACATTCCAGTACATTGTGCAGAAAGTTGGAGATGAAGCCGTAGTACGTACATGTAGCATTGCACTGGATCGAACTTGCAGAGTGTGGTTTCCTCCAGTCTGCGCCGCGCGCTTATATAAACATACGCGGCGCAGATCGACTGGAGGAGATTGCACTGTGTAGGCTCCGGTGTAATATAATATGTATGTACTACGGCTTTACAAATTTTGGAAGCATGTAGGGATATAAATCTGATACCAATCGTATATACTAAAAATACTCTAGCACAATTGTAACTGCAGTTTTACAGAACTCTAAATGCTTACTGAACACTCTTGCAGGTACCACCCGTATTCACACTCAGACCTGAGTTTAGTCATTTTCCGATACGAGATTGGGGACGGGTTCTATAAACAAACAAACAAACAAACATTTATTTTCAGTATTATAATATTCATAAATAATCTCAGTTTGTAAATAGTTCAGGTGCATTTGTCATTTGAGAAAGCTCGTTGTCATTTCCTGTCATGACTCTCCGTTATCCTGAAATATTGTGCATTAATTATTATTTCAGTAACTCTTAGTAACTCTAAGTAACTGTTCTGTTGATTTGAAGCAAAGATAAGATTGAATAATCGATTTGAAATTTCTTAATAGATTTATAATTTTTGATTGGGAAGTCATGGATCTCAACTAACTTTCCTGCCTTTTTTACGATATGTTTTAAACCTTAATTCAAGCTTTAAAAGATTATTGCTTCGTTCCCCAGCTGTTTAACTCTCACTTGTTGTTTCGTAATAGTTCGCTGTCTCAGCTCAAAATTGTAATCAATGACTAATTATGAATACCTTATCGGACTTTATTTAAACGGACATTTAATTTGATGTTGGAGGCCCAAGCGTTCATTTTAATATCCGTTCAAATAAAGTCCGACAAGGTAGTTGAATACATTAAATGGATGCCTTTGAGGATGCCTTTGAGCGTTCATTTTAATGTCTGTTCAAAATGATGTGTTCACGGTTAAATAACGTCCGATAAGGCATACGTCAAAATAGCTGCAATCAATTTCTTGTTTGTAAAGCATTGTCAGTATAACTTTAAGTAAATATTTTAAAATGGAAAACAACTTTAATCATGGACGCGAAAAGCTTGCTGCTAAAATCTAAATCACTAGAATTACAGTTAAGCTCTCAATTTGGGGGCCAGCTTTTCTATTCGCAGCTGTGCTGTGGTTTGTAAAATGTAAAAAAAAAATGTAAAAAATATTCCAACCATTCCCTATGATTTAGAGGAACATTCTTTACATTTCTGTTATTTTTAAAACACAAATCTGACTTAATTCTTAACATTAATATTCGAGACCTATCGTGGAGCAGTCTGGAGATCCGCCAGAGAATTTTATATCTCCGTCCCAACAGGCCGCTTGTTTGAACTTGAAGTATTGTTGCGGGCATTGGTAAGTTATTTCCGTTCCATGCTCAGCCGGTAACTGATCCTTTGTCACTGTGATCTCTAAATTAGGGTCGACGGTCTTGCACGTGGCTGAATCATTGATTGGTTATTATTTTTTTTCTGCTTTCTTGAGTTAATTCGTACTTTTTAGAGTTATTAAAGCTGAAAATGTAAAATTTATAAATACATAATATATACTATATAGGCATAACAGATTATGCGCAACAAGAGTTCAGTTGGAAAGTGTTGAGTTAAGAAACAACTCCTCACCTTCTTTCCTTGTTACCACCATCTCGGCCACACCAAAGATATCATTATCACCGTTATTATTCACTAACTTCACCCTGTTTCCATATATGCAGCTGGATATAGAAGGAAGGTTTCCGGAAGTTGCTCCGTCTGAGCGCACTGTGACTGTGTTGAAGCTGCAGTATTTACCTTCACAGGTACTACAGTCTGTATCAGAGCAGGTCCAGGTGATGAAAGGACTACCACTACTTCCAATCCATATCACTTGGTCAACACAGTGTACCTGGTCAAGAGTTAACTCTAACCAGGTCATACTGTCAGAACCAGGAGTTGCTGCGGCTATTGTCTTCAGGTCCAGATCTATGGCATTACTAGCAGCATACGTCTCCTCGTTACTATCTACAGTTTGGGAGCTCTCAGCACTTATTGGTGTTATCTCTTTTAGTTGTAGCTGAAATAGTATATCGAATAAGTATTGTTTATTGTGCTACATCACCATTCATAGCAGCCAATTTCTTTTGCGATCACAAAATGTTTAACAATCAGCCTTTTACTGTGTCTTACCTTGTTTCTCAATGATAGCTATCTCCGACACCATGAATTGTTGGTCACTCCTCTGTCGTAACTTCACCCTGTTCCCGTGTTTACAGCCGGCTGATACAGCAGCAGCGGTATCGACGGTGAATACTGTGAGAATGCACTTGTTGCAGAAGTAATAACCCTCACAAATACACCCTGATGGGGAGCAGGTCCAGGTGAGATAGGTACTACCATCTTTGTGGAACCGTTCTATCCGTCGGATACAGTGCACTTCATCTAGTTTCAACTCGATCCAAGATTCACCGTCAAAATTCGCCACTGGTTTAGCCCAGGTTTCGAAGATCAGGTCAAAAGCGTATTTAGCAGCAAACTTTTCCTCGTTCGCCCCATAAGTGTGGGAGTTTTCAGCACTTAACGGAGTTATCTCACCAATCAGTTTCTCCCTGACCTTCTTACAATCTTTGACTCTTGATGATCCCAGCAAGGACTTTGTTCCCTTTGGACATTTCAGACAATTAGCACCGTCCTTGTAGTAGTTTTCTTGGCATCTGCAATCCCCCGCATTGTTAGATCCTACCTCTGAAGAGGAATTCGGAGGACAGCTCGAACATTTCCCTTTCTTTATCTTATAGTGGTCTGCTGGACATTTGCACTGAGCGACTGAAGTTGCTCCTCGGTCCGAGAAACCGTTGGATGGACATGCCTCACAATTAACTGCCTTAGTGTACACTCTGTAAAAGTTTTCGTTGCAAACACAGTCCGTTAGTTCATCAGATCCGGACGGAGAAGTGCTCTGACCCGGACATGCTTTACAGTTTATTCCGTCAGTTCCGTAATAGTTATCCGGACATGGCACACAGCTGGTCGGAGAGTCGTTCCTTTGGCCAGTTGGGCAGGTGATTGTGGTCTGGTCATCTGATCCGTCACTTGATCCGCCAGTTGTTGCTACTATCGAAGTGAAGACTAGGGCGTTGTTTGTTTGCAGTTCCAACTGAAGGAATGATAAGTTGTGAGACTGCAGGGATGTTTTTAGTTAACAAGACAAATGATCGGTTGTCCACGTGACGTATTATCTCGGGATTGGTAAAGTGAGTGATCACCCAGATAAAACCGTACTCCTTTGGCCGTTACGATGTATGTACAATGTACATGATCAATGATCTTTCAGAATTTGAAATTTAATGCAGAATTTAGTGAACCATCATATAAATGATTAATTTAGTGTACCAAGATAAAAGTTTAGATTTACCATTAATTTTGCATCCTCCCACACAGAGAATGACGACGAAAAGAATCCATTAGGTTTCGTTACTGAAATTATCATCATTAGAAGCAGTAAGAATACACACCAATAGATGATAATACATACTTCTAAATAATAAACAGTATTCGTCGGAAGTTTAATTGATTGTGTAAGACATACGTGTAAATCTTGTTTCTCCTGATTTCAGACTGAATCTCAATCCTCCGGATTTCTTAACGTCCATTGTTAATTCAAAATCATCGCCTTCTTTGAAATTGTAATCGTAATTTTGTCCACTTTTCCTGAAGTTTGTCCTTTTACCACCTGAAGATAACGTGTTTATTGTGGTGTTATGGACAGGGTGTAATAGTAAAATTATATACGAGTAGTTTATTGGAGTTACTCAGATTATCTGAGCAACTCCAAACTTTTACTAAAACAACTTTGTAGTTAGTTTAATTAATAACCACCCTGTACTTCAGACAGTATTTCTATGTTCACACGTGCTGATCACTACACTGACAGTACTAAACAGTACTTAATGAGTAACTACTCACCCTCTTTACGGGGAGTGTAGGCCCAAACACCAATCTGGTGCCGCTGTATTGCTATCTCGTAAGCTCTGTTATTATCATCGTTAAACGAGCCATCATCTAGAGTTAGTCCTATAAACAATGTTGTGTTTCCTTCGATCGATTTAAACTTTCCTGAAAAATAGAGTTTTAGAGTTGTAATATCAATAGAATTACTATTAGTGACTAATAATCAAGAATTAGAAACTATTAAGAAGAAAGTGCCTATATTTAATTAAGATCAGTGTCCACTAATCACTATCCATGGAAATTTGTCAGCTCGTATTGAAATCATCTAATAAAGTAATAAGCTAAATATAATGTCACTGTATTCACTATATCGTACCATTGAAAACAAATGTGGATGTTTCCTCGTACATTTCTAATGCTTCAAATCTTTGAACAGTGTTCTGTTCCACTGGAGTAACGTCAAAAACTGGAATGAAAATTAGCTTACATAACTAACTCAAAGTTAGTAAATATCGGCTAACAGTCGATACAATAATAGAGTAAAACATCGAACCCTGGACCAAAAAAACCCTGAACCAATTTATCACCGTTGCACACAAAATTTCGGATTGTCATGCTTGTCGACTATACAATTACACTGAGCTTCAAATTTCGGACCAACTTATTTCCGGCAATTTTGATTGTTACAGTATTGATTTGGTCCGGGGTTTGAAGTTTCACGGTTGAGAAAACGGGAGTTGATCTACATTCTACCGTCGGATCTACCTGTTATTTCGAATGGTGTGTTACTATTGGTTAATGAACAGCGCCAAGATAAGGTGTAAGGGACGACTTTTCAAACAAAAGGAAATTGTATCTATTTAAATTACCTGTCTCAAATGCAAAATGATAAAATTTAATTGGTTTATTAAATAATAGTTTAATTAAACAATTGTTTAATTAAGCAACATTCAATGTTAACAACTAACTTGTAACAGATGCATGTGCAGCATTTCCAATCAGAGTCGTTAACATCCACAGCAAGAATATCATTCTCTTAGAAATATGTGTTCGATGAATATTTGTTTGAGCAAATATACAAATAATTATTTGTATAATTATCATTATTTAAAGTTCTCTTACTAACTTGAAACAGTCAAAACTTTTCTGTTTCAGCAACAACCCAACCGTTATAAACTATTTAGGGTACTCACAAATGAAAATTTAAGTGGAAATTAGAGAAGTGAACGTTTTTGATAATGTTATTTTTGATAATTTCTTAGCAAGTTAGCATCATACAATTTCAAATAAATCTTTCAAACTGTTCAAACTCGAGGCTTTCGGTGAAAACCTGGATGAATTAAAAGTACTGTTATAGCAAATCTACGACTACAGCAAAACTTCCCTTCAAAGTAAAAAACAATATTCATTACTCCTTCTATTTAAGTCTCCTCCCCACCCAATAATTTTCTCTTCATGTAATAATATTTTGATGGATCAGTCTTAATGAACTCCTTCATCATTTCCACTAACTTCTGAAACCGTTCCTCACTTGATCTGTCTGGGGCTATCAATACACCTTTATAACGATCTACGCTCCTTACACTACTGCTCTGTTGTAGGATTGTGTGTACTGTTTGGGGGCTGGTGAGCGTTACTTTGACAGGCCTGGTAGAGGCTTTATTATCTCCTCTATCCATCCTGATACAGTCCAGTATTCTTGGCTTTTCGCCAACAGACTTTAACACATCAGAAACTTTTGATTCCAAATCTTCATTATTTTCTTCAGTTAGTCCAAAAACTATCAAGTTCTTGCTCCTGTCTTCTTCCTTAGACACTGATTTATTCCCTGTTTTGATGTTTCCTTTTGCAACATCACCATCAGATTTCTTACAGCTCTTTTTGCTTTTAGCAATGTTGCAGTGGCCCCTCATTTCATTCTGAACAATTGAGGAAATTTCCTGCAAATTCTGATCCTGCTTTTCGATAACAATATTTTGTAGGCTGATGATGCTAAACTTATCGTTAATTGTCTGATCCAGTAGGGTTTCCATTGTTGCTTCTGCAAGGAACAGAGCCTGTCGAGCCCTCACCATAACATCAACGCTATCTTCGAGCCAAGTTGTCAATTCTTCCTTCTTAATTGTTGGTTTCATCATTTTATCAGCTTTCAGCTCTGACACACTGCTGCAACCAGTAGCCCGGAGAATGTTTTTGAATAAGGACTCATATTCATCATCTAGATCGGAGAAGTAGTCGTCAAGAGCAGCTAGAGCTTCCTCCATCTCCTTCATTGAACTCATGTAGTGATAGAGTACACCAAGCCTGTACAATTAGAAGCAGGCTCAGTTACTGAATTAAATTAGAATAATCTTCTACCTCAAATTCTGCTTACTGATAAAATGGCAATCAATCTTCAACGTGGATTTACGCGGTCTACAATACACTAATACAGTAAAACCTCGATTTTCCGAGGAGTCTGGGGGAAAAGAAACAGCCGCAGTATATTAAGGGGTTATGATATTTCACATTAACTATGTTAATTCTTTATTTTGGGAAGGGAATGGTCAGTGGTCACGACAAATTAGGTTTTGCTGTAAATTGGGGCACGATAAGTCGGGGTTTCACTGTATGCGGGCTCACCTTCATCTGCGGGGAAACAAACAAAAGGTGTTCCAGTGAGAGTGTGGATCATCACCGAGAACAATCATTAGGACTGTGAGAGCATGAGGGGGGATTACAAAGCTCTGTTTTATTGTGCTCACTAATGCTAACTCCTCCTCATTTTCCTTCTCATTGTTTCCTGACGATTATGTGATGGAGAAGGCAGCCGAGAATCTTGGAGTGTACTAGCCCGTGGATGTGTTAATGTCAATACACTAGGGGTATGGATCGCTTTCAAAGCCTAATGGCGTGCGTTTGTTATACGAGGGACTAAGAAAATAGCTCCATATTTACTACTTTACTCTAACAACACGAATCATGTAACCATGATCATAGTAACATGGTGCAATGGAAGCCCCCTCTCACGAGTGTAATGTCATGAAGCTAATGCCACTATGTTCATGTAGATAATGTAGATAAGGTAGATACTGACTGCGGTCAGTGGTGGGTTCAAACGCTTAAATTTATTCAAGAGTTGCTAACATATCTACGGAGATCATGGTGATTAGAAAGCCGACCTCTTATTGATCATTGGACTGTCACAGTGTGTAACATGTGTTGACACCCCCCTCTTCCTAAGCAAATTAATTGACCACCAGACGTGGTCCCACATAATAATAACACAGAGATTTTGTCTAAAAATTTCAGTAAACTATTCCAAACTCGCTCTCCTTTGCTGGCTAACTAATGAAGGTCACGTGACCCTGGATTTAAGCTCCATTCTGCGTTTTTCACGCTATATAGTGACAAATATCAGCTGTCATTATAAAGTGCTTGTCATTATATAGTGTTGTCACTTTATATTGCGATTACCTTCTGAAACGTAACACAACATTAAACCAATTTCTCGAGAGTGATGTTATAAAGCTACTGATAAATGTGAAGGGTTTACAGTCGAGCAATTTCATGGTGACCACTGATGAGGCTGAAACATAATAGGACCGTTTAACATAACCAAATAAATGAACATCTGGTAAATTGTTCTGAAGCTGTGATAAAGGGAAACACACAACGTAAGGCTCGAAATTGTAAAACTACATCATTAGTAATTCTAACAGGCGTCAGAGTGTTGAGGATGATTCCAGGACAGTTCTTAATTTAGATTTTATTTCGGACAGTACTAGCAATAAGATTAGAAATTATGTAAAGCAGAACAATTTACCTATTAAAGTAAACTTTAAACCTACTTCGAAATTGAGAAATATTTTATGTAGTAACAGACCGTATGATAAACGTGTGTGCAGTATTAATTCATGTAAAATTTGTCCTTTGATAGTTTGTAATAAAGATTGTGAAGTGAAGAATGTTGTATATAAGATTAAGTGTAAATTATGTGACCAGCTGTACGTTGGAGAAACCAGTAGGAAAGTACATGCTCGTGTAGGAGAACACTTACGTTACGCTACCTACCCTGCTACCCCTTCTAATGTTAGTCAAGCTTTTGCCATACATTATTCGAGCTGTCATGAGGGGTTAAATCCCAGTTTAGAAGTAGATATTTTAAGAATTGAACCCAATACTGTCAGAAGAAAGATTTTTGAAGCGATGTTTATTATTAATCTGAACCCTACAATTAACAAGAGAGAAGAACTGGATACTATTAAACGTTTTATCATAGCTAGTACTGAAGAATTTTAGATATTCATTCCCTTTTTATTGCATACAGTTTAAGTTTTCTAGCAGTAGTAAGTTTTAATGTTTTTTCACATCTCACTCACAATCAGTAACCACTCACTATATTTTCACTCACATTGTGTATACACCATCTCACATGTATTGTATCTTTTACCTTATCATCTGTTATCACTTACATCTTAAATCATCTGTTATCACTGTACATGTCATTCCATCACACGATCACAATCACGTACTCGCTGTTTAGTGGATGTTTTAAGTTTATTGAATAGCAGATCGAGTAGTGTTGTATATATATAGATTTTGATTCTAATTTTAGTCGAGTATTTGAACAATTTGTTGTCGTTTAGCCATTTTTGATTAATAAATTTTATGAGACAGTTTTCTCACATATTTACCAATTTTGTCAGCATGAATAAGAAGTTGTTACTTTGAAACGTCGTTTATCCTAACAGTGCAATATCATTTGTCGCAAATCAGAATAATCAGAAACTATTTGGAAAAACCCAAAAACTGTCTACATCATTAGAGCCTGTAAAAACATTTAACTTTAAGATAAGCACTTTATCAAGTAAAATTCATATAATATAACCATCAGCTGTTATAACTGGTTGTTTCTAAAATATGTCTCTATGCGAGCACCTTTCAATGTGCTCCGCATGTTGACTCAAAAACTTATTAGAGAGCTTATTTATTAATTTGGAATTTATTAATTTGGAAAATGAAATCCACGTGGTTCAGAATCCAGAAAAACTAATAATTAAGTTAACAATATAACTCAAGTCTTGTAATTATATATAAAGTATATATACTTTACAGTCACTACTCTTGGTCTTGAAATGGCGGTTCTGTCGTTTCTGTAAAACTGAGAGCATTTTCCTGAACTTGGTCATAGTTTAGCCGTCAGTCATATGCCCAATCTCTGTACCAGGGGAACACCAGACAAATGTTAGTTTGAAGGTGGAAGTAGCCTCCTTGGTGCTATGATAAAATAGGAATTAAAATGTCAAAATTTTACCATTAATCTACCGTCTCCGTTTAATTTTGCACCCTTATTGGTCCTCTATCCATTATTTTCGTGGCTGGCTAGCTTATCCTAAATTCATTCGTAAACCACACAAATCTATCTACTGGTCCTGATTGATTGAACTATTAATAAGCTAACCAAGAGACTAGATTTATCGGTAAGTATAATACACATATAATTATAAGCCACTAAGATATTGGCTATTTCTTCTTTATGAGCACCCGGAAATGACAATTTTAGAAATCACTCATTCAAAATAATGATAGGGGTCACTAGCAGTAGTCACGTGACGATAAATTACACACACTATGCTTATACTTATTAACTGTCTACATTATATCACCAATACCCTTAGATAGAATTAATTGCTCAATAACTGCATTACTGTTAACTTACGGTTAACTTATCTTGAATTCTTGTTAAATTAGTGATTTTGAAATGGTCTGTGGAAGTGGATCACCGAGTATGTTCCTTTTGATATATTTAAATAATGAATTATTGACACTCCTCCTTTCAGAGTCAGTCGAAGTTCTTTTGATAACCAGTGCGACTGTGGTCTATGATATATCTTAGTATTTTGATGACCCTCTAGACGAAACAAATCTTAGACATTTTATTTTACATCTCGATTTTCAGGTCTCGGGGCCCCCGCGATTCAAGCAGGAATTGATTTGAGCAACTACACTGCTATCCCAGCTACTTCCGTCTTCTCGAGCAATGGTGTCCTTAAACGAGAGTATAAATCAGTCATTAATGTGAGCATTTCTCCTTGTTATCGTTAATAATAATATAACACATTATTTAACACGTTAATGTAACACAAAACCTTTGCATTCAATGTTATTTCTGCCATTCAAATTTCTGATTGTTTCTGAATAGACTCAGTGAAGACAAATTCTGATGGAAATAAATAGCTGAATAACGTATCGAAATTTCTACGTCATACTCATATTCTGAAATAGTGTTAATTCAATTATAACACTTACGGGATCTTGAAGCTTGTTCCTATTATAAGAAGTTTGTTTAAACATGCCAGAAAACATTTAAACATCTATTTGCAGGTGGCACTGATCCTCTTCCCAAATGGAAAGAACAAGCCCCTGGCCCGTAGACAATCACGAGCTTCTCTTTCTGGATCTAGAATCTTGTTCCCGAGTCCTGCTTTCAACTTTAATGGAATTATCATCCAGCCTGACCTCAGATATCTTGTCAAACTGCCGACTGGAAGTTCTCCTGTTGTACCGGGATCTGCTATTGCTCAAAACCCAAGCAACCCATCAACTGTAATAGTTACATTCAGAGGATCTTCGTATCCAGTGTCCAGTTTACAACTTGTACAACCAAAACTTGGCCCAGGATCTCCCAGATCTCCAGGTGGAATTCCTGGATCTCCAGGGTCTCCAGGAGGAATTCCTGGATCCCCAGGGTCTCCGGGTGGTTTCCCTGGATCCCCAGGGTCTCCGGGTACTTTCCCTGGATCTCAAGCAGGAGTGCCACGAGGGCCAGCCAGTCCAGGGAGACAACCAGGATTCCCGGGTAGTCCATCCGGTCCAGGAGGACGTCATGGTGTACCAGGTAGTCCATCTGGTCCAGTCAGACGTCATGGTGTACCAGGTAGTCCATCTGGTCCAGGAGGTAGACCAGGATTCCCGGGTAGTTCATCTGGTCCAGGAGAACGTCATGGTGTACCAGGTAGTCCATCTGGTCCAGGAGGACGTCATGGTGTACCAGGTAGTCCATCTGGTCCAGAAGTACGTCATGGTGTACCAGGTAGTCCATCTAATCTAGGAGGACATCATGGTGTACCAGGTGGTGGATTCATGTTCAACGGAATCCTCATTTCCGCCGGAGGTTCTTACAGTGTAACTCTTCCTAGTGGTGCCACTGTTATCGTCTCTGGAGCTGCCATCTCACCAAACCCAAGCAATCCAGGAAGTGTCCTAGTTGCATATGGTGGATCAGTGCACGTCGTATTTGTTGTTTCTGCTGCTGGAGGTGCTGGACCTTCATCCGGTCCTTCTGGAGCTGGACTTATTTCACCATCTGGAGGTGCCGGTGGACTATACGGTCCTGGTGCTGGTGGTGCTGGAGGTGCCGGTCAATACGGTGCTGGTTCTGGTGCAGGAGTTGGTCCCTCTATCGACATTGATATTTACTCCGGAGGTGCTGGAGGCGCTGGAGCAGGTATGTATGGCTCTGGTGCAGGAGGTGCTGGTGCTGCTGGAGGTGCAGCTCCTACTGCAGGTGGTGCTGGCTTCAATTTCAACGGAATCCGCATTCAGGCCGGAGGTTCTTACAGTGTAACTCTACCTAGTGGTGCCACTGTTATCGTCTCTGGAGCTGCCATCTCACCAAACCCAAGCAATCCAGGAAGTGTCCTAGTTGCATATGGTGGATCAGTGCACGTCGTATTTGTTGTTTCTGCTGCTGGAGGTGCTGGACCTTCATCCGGTCCTTCTGGAGCTGGACTTATTTCACCATCTGGTGGTGCCGGTGGACTGTACGGTCCTGGTGCTGGTGGTGCTGGAGGTGCCGGTCAATACGGTGCTGGTTCTGGTGCAGGAGTTGGTCCCTCTATCGACATTGATATTTACTCCGGAGGTGCTGGAGGCGCTGGAGCAGGTATGTATGGCTCTGGTGCAGGAGGTGCTGGCGCTGCTGGTGGTGCCGGAGGTGCTGGTGGATTCATGTTCAACGGAATCCTCATTTCCGCCGGAGGTTCTTACAGTGTAACTCTACCTAGTGGTGCCACTGTTATCGTCTCTGGAGCTGCCATCTCACCAAACCCAAGCAATCCAGGAAGTGTCCTAGTTGCATATGGTGGATCAGTGCACGTCGTATTTGTTGTTTCTGCTGCTGGAGGTGCTGGACCTTCATCCGGTCCTTCTGGAGCTGGACTTATTTCACCATCTGGTGGTGCCGGTGGACTGTACGGTCCTGGTGCTGGTGGTGCTGGAGGTGCCGGTCAATACGGTGCTGGTTCTGGTGCAGGAGTTGGTCCCTCTATCGACATTGATATTTACTCCGGAGGTGCTGGAGGTGCTGGAGCAGGTATGTATGGCTCTGGTGCAGGAGGTGCTGGCGCTGCTGGTGGTGCCGGAGGTGCTGGTGGATTCATGTTCAACGGAATCCTCATTTCCGCCGGAGGTTCTTACAGTGTAACTCTACCTAGTGGTGCCACTGTTATCGTCTCTGGAGCTGCCATCTCACCAAACCCAAGCAATCCAGGAAGTGTCCTAGTTGCATATGGTGGATCAGTGCACGTCGTATTTGTTGTTTCTGCTGCTGGAGGTGCTGGACCTTCATCCGGTCCTTCTGGAGCTGGACTTATTTCACCATCTGGTGGTGCCGGTGGACTGTACGGTCCTGGTGCTGGTGGTGCTGGACAATACGGTGCTGGTTCTGGTGCAGGAGTTGGTCCCTCTATCGACATTGATATTTACTCCGGAGGTGCTGGAGGCGCTGGAGCAGGTATGTATGACTCTGGTGCAGGAGGTGCTGGCGCTGCTTGTGGTGCTGGAGGTGCTGGTGGATTCATGTTCAACGGAATCCTCATTTCCGCCGGAGGTTCTTACAGTGTAACTCTACCTAGTGGTGCCACTGTTATCGTCTCTGGAGCTGCCATCTCACCAAACCCAAGCAATCCAGGAAGTGTCCTAGTTGCATTTGGTGGATCAGTGCACGTCGTATTTGTTGTTTCTGCTGCTGGAGGTGCTGGACCTTCATCCGGTCCTTCTGGAGCTGGACTTATTTCACCATCTGGTGGTGCCGGTGGACTGTACGGTCCTGGTGCTGGTGGTGCTGGAGGTGCCGGTCAATACGGTGCTGGTTCTGGTGCAGGAGTTGGTCCCTCTATCGACATTGATATTTACTCCGGAGGTGCTGGAGGCGCTGGAGCAGGTATGTATGACTCTGGTGCAGGAGGTGCTGGCGCTGCTTGTGGTGCTGGTGGATTCATGTTCAACGGAATCCTCATTTCCGCCGGAGGTTCTTACAGTGTAACTCTACCTAGTGGTGCCACTGTTATCGTCTCTGGAGCTGCCATCTCACCAAACCCAAGCAATCCAGGAAGTGTCCTAGTTGCATATGGTGGATCAGTGCACGTCGTATTTGTTGTTTCTGCTGCTGGAGGTGCTGGACCTTCATCCGGTCCTTCTGGAGCTGGACTTATTTCACCATCTGGTGGTGCCGGTGGACTGTACGGTCCTGGTGCTGGTGGTGCTGGAGGTGCCGGTCAATACGGTGCTGGTTCTGGTGCAGGAGTTGGTCCCTCTATCGACATTGATATTTACTCCGGAGGTGCTGGAGGCGCTGGAGCAGGTATGTATGGCTCTGGTGCAGGAGGTGCTGGCGCTGCTGGTGGTGCCGGAGGTGCTGGTGGATTCATGTTCAACGGAATCCTCATTTCCGCCGGAGGTTCTTACAGTGTAACTCTACCTAGTGGTGCCACTGTTATCGTCTCTGGAGCTGCCATCTCACCAAACCCAAGCAATCCAGGAAGTGTCCTAGTTGCATATGGTGGATCAGTGCACGTCGTATTTGTTGTTTCTGCTGCTGGAGGTGCTGGACCTTCATCCGGTCCTTCTGGAGCTGGACTTATTTCACCATCTGGTGGTGCCGGTGGACTGTACGGTCCTGGTGCTGGTGGTGCTGGAGGTGCCGGTCAATACGGTGCTGGTTCTGGTGCAGGAGTTGGTCCCTCTATCGACATTGATATTTACTCCGGAGGTGCTGGAGGCGCTGGAGCAGGTATGTATGGCTCTGGTGCAGGAGGTGCTGGCGCTGCTGGTGGTGCCGGAGGTGCTGGTGGATTCATGTTCAACGGAATCCTCATTTCCGCCGGAGGTTCTTACAGTGTAACTCTACCTAGTGGTGCCACTGTTATCGTCTCTGGAGCTGCCATCTCACCAAACCCAAGCAATCCAGGAAGTGTCCTAGTTGCATATGGTGGATCAGTGCACGTCGTATTTGTTGTTTCTGCTGCTGGAGGTGCTGGACCTTCATCCGGTCCTTCTGGAGCTGGACTTATTTCACCATCTGGTGGTGCCGGTGGACTGTACGGTCCTGGTGCTGGTGGTGCTGGAGGTGCCGGTCAATACGGTGCTGGTTCTGGTGCAGGAGTTGGTCCCTCTATCGACATTGATATTTACTCCGGAGGTGCTGGAGGCGCTGGAGCAGGTATGTATGGCTCTGGTGCAGGAGGTGCTGGCGCTGCTGGTGGTGCCGGAGGTGCTGGTGGATTCATGTTCAACGGAATCCTCATTTCCGCCGGAGGTTCTTACAGTGTAACTCTACCTAGTGGTGCCACTGTTATCGTCTCTGGAGCTGCCATCTCACCAAACCCAAGCAATCCAGGAAGTGTCCTAGTTGCATATGGTGGATCAGTGCACGTCGTATTTGTTGTTTCTGCTGCTGGAGGTGCTGGACCTTCATCCGGTCCTTCTGGAGCTGGACTTATTTCACCATCTGGTGGTGCCGGTGGACTGTACGGTCCTGGTGCTGGTGGTGCTGGAGGTGCCGGTCAATACGGTGCTGGTTCTGGTGCAGGAGTTGGTCCCTCTATCGACATTGATATTTACTCCGGAGGTGCTGGAGGCGCTGGAGCAGGTATGTATGGCTCTGGTGCAGGAGGTGCTGGCGCTGCTGGTGGTGCCGGAGGTGCTGGTGGATTCATGTTCAACGGAATCCTCATTTCCGCCGGAGGTTCTTACAGTGTAACTCTACCTAGTGGTGCCACTGTTATCGTCTCTGGAGCTGCCATCTCACCAAACCCAAGCAATCCAGGAAGTGTCCTAGTTGCATATGGTGGATCAGTGCACGTCGTATTTGTTGTTTCTGCTGCTGGAGGTGCTGGACCTTCATCCGGTCCTTCTGGAGCTGGACTTATTTCACCATCTGGTGGTGCCGGTGGACTGTACGGTCCTGGTGCTGGTGGTGCTGGAGGTGCCGGTCAATACGGTGCTGGTTCTGGTGCAGGAGTTGGTCCCTCTATCGACATTGATATTTACTCCGGAGGTGCTGGAGGCGCTGGAGCAGGTATGTATGGCTCTGGTGCAGGAGGTGCTGGCGCTGCTGGTGGTGCCGGAGGTGCTGGTGGATTCATGTTCAACGGAATCCTCATTTCTGCCAGAGGTTCTTACAGTGTAACTCTACCTAGTGGTGCCACTGTTATCGTCTCTGGAGCTGCCATCTCACCAAACCCAAGCAATCCAGGAAGTGTCCTAGTTGCATATGGTGGATCAGTGCACGTCGTATTTGTTGTTTCTGCTGCTGGAGGTGCTGGACCTTCATCCGGTCCTTCTGGAGCTGGACTTATTTCACCATCTGGTGGTGCCGGTGGACTGTACGGTCCTGGTGCTGGTGGTGCTGGAGGTGCCGGTCAATACGGTGCTGGTTCTGGTGCAGGAGTTGGTCCCTCTATCGACATTGATATTTACTCCGGAGGTGCTGGAGGCGCTGGAGCAGGTATGTATGGCTCTGGTGCAGGAGGTGCTGGCGCTGCTGGTGGTGCCGGAGGTGCTGGTGGATTCATGTTCAACGGAATCCTCATTTCCGCCGGAGGTTCTTACAGTGTAACTCTACCTAGTGGTGCCACTGTTATCGTCTCTGGAGCTGCCATCTCACCAAACCCAAGCAATCCAGGAAGTGTCCTAGTTGCATATGGTGGATCAGTGCACGTCGTATTTGTTGTTTCTGCTGCTGGAGGTGCTGGACCTTCATCCGGTCCTTCTGGAGCTGGACTTATTTCACCATCTGGTGGTGCCGGTGGACTGTACGGTCCTGGTGTTGGTGGTGCTGGAGGTGCCGGTCAATACGGTGCTGGTTCTGGTGCAGGAGTTGGTCCCTCTATCGACATTGATATTTACTCCGGAGGTGCTGGAGGTGCTGGAGCAGGTATGTATGGCTCTGGTGCAGGAGGTGCTGGCGCTGCTGGTGGTGCCGGAGGTGCTGGTGGATTCATGTTCAACGGAATCCTCATTTCCGCCGGAGGTTCTTACAGTGTAACTCTACCTAGTGGTGCCACTGTTATCGTCTCTGGAGCTGCCATCTCACCAAACCCAAGCAATCCAGGAAGTGTCCTAGTTGCATATGGTGGATCAGTGCACGTCGTATTTGTTGTTTCTGCTGCTGGAGGTGCTGGACCTTCATCCGGTCCTTCTGGAGCTGGACTTATTTCACCATCTGGTGGTGCCGGTGGACTGTACGGTCCTGGTGCTGGTGGTGCTGGAGGTGCCGGTCAATACGGTGCTGGTTCTGGTGCAGGAGTTGGTCCCTCTATCGACATTGATATTTACTCCGGAGGTGCTGGAGGCGCTGGAGCAGGTATGTATGGCTCTGGTGCAGGAGGTGCTGGCGCTGCTGGTGGTGCCGGAGGTGCTGGTGGATTCATGTTCAACGGAATCCTCATTTCCGCCGGAGGTTCTTACAGTGTAACTCTACCTAGTGGTGCCACTGTTATCGTCTCTGGAGCTGCCATCTCACCAAACCCAAGCAATCCAGGAAGTGTCCTAGTTGCATATGGTGGATCAGTGCACGTCGTATTTGTTGTTTCTGCTGCTGGAGGTGCTGGACCTTCATCCGGTCCTTCTGGAGCTGGACTTATTTCACCATCTGGTGGTGCCGGTGGACTGTACGGTCCTGGTGCTGGTGGTGCTGGAGGTGCCGGTCAATACGGTGCTGGTTCTGGTGCAGGAGTTGGTCCCTCTATCGACATTGATATTTACTCCGGAGGTGCTGGAGGCGCTGGAGCAGGTATGTATGGCTCTGGTGCAGGAGGTGCTGGCGCTGCTGGTGGTGCCGGAGGTGCTGGTGGATTCATGTTCAACGGAATCCTCATTTCTGCCGGAGGTTCTTACAGTGTAACTCTACCTAGTGGTGCCACTGTTATCGTCTCTGGAGCTGCCATCTCACCAAACCCAAGCAATCCAGGAAGTGTCCTAGTTGCATATGGTGGATCAGTGCACGTCGTATTTGTTGTTTCTGCTGCTGGAGGTGCTGGACCTTCATCCGGTCCTTCTGGAGCTGGACTTATTTCACCATCTGGTGGTGCCGGTGGACTGTACGGTCCTGGTGCTGGTGGTGCTGGAGGTGCCGGTCAATACGGTGCTGGTTCTGGTGCAGGAGTTGGTCCCTCTATCGACATTGATATTTACTCCGGAGGTGCTGGAGGCGCTGGAGCAGGTATGTATGGCTCTGGTGCAGGAGGTGCTGGCGCTGCTGGTGGTGCCGGAGGTGCTGGTGGATTCATGTTCAACGGAATCCTCATTTCCGCCGGAGGTTCTTACAGTGTAACTCTACCTAGTGGTGCCACTGTTATCGTCTCTGGAGCTGCCATCTCACCAAACCCAAGCAATCCAGGAAGTGTCCTAGTTGCATATGGTGGATCAGTGCACGTCGTATTTGTTGTTTCTGCTGCTGGAGGTGCTGGACCTTCATCCGGTCCTTCTGGAGCTGGACTTATTTCACCATCTGGTGGTGCCGGTGGACTGTACGGTCCTGGTGCTGGTGGTGCTGGAGGTGCCGGTCAATACGGTGCTGGTTCTGGTGCAGGAGTTGGTCCCTCTATCGACATTGATATTTACTCCGGAGGTGCTGGAGGCGCTGGAGCAGGTATGTATGGCTCTGGTGCAGGAGGTGCTGGCGCTGCTGGTGGTGCCGGAGGTGCTGGTGGATTCATGTTCAACGGAATCCTCATTTCCGCCGGAGGTTCTTACAGTGTAACTCTACCTAGTGGTGCCACTGTTATCGTCTCTGGAGCTGCCATCTCACCAAACCCAAGCAATCCAGGAAGTGTCCTAGTTGCATATGGTGGATCAGTGCACGTCGTATTTGTTGTTTCTGCTGCTGGAGGTGCTGGACCTTCATCCGGTCCTTCTGGAGCTGGACTTATTTCACCATCTGGTGGTGCCGGTGGACTGTACGGTCCTGGTGCTGGTGGTGCTGGAGGTGCCGGTCAATACGGTGCTGGTTCTGGTGCAGGAGTTGGTCCCTCTATCGACATTGATATTTACTCCGGAGGTGCTGGAGGCGCTGGAGCAGGTATGTATGGCTCTGGTGCAGGAGGTGCTGGCGCTGCTGGTGGTGCCGGAGGTGCTGGTGGATTCATGTTCAACGGAATCCTCATTTCCGCCGGAGGTTCTTACAGTGTAACTCTACCTAGTGGTGCCACTGTTATCGTCTCTGGAGCTGCCATCTCACCAAACCCAAGCAATCCAGGAAGTGTCCTAGTTGCATATGGTGGATCAGTGCACGTCGTATTTGTTGTTTCTGCTGCTGGAGGTGCTGGACCTTCATCCGGTCCTTCTGGAGCTGGACTTATTTCACCATCTGGTGGTGCCGGTGGACTGTACGGTCCTGGTGCTGGTGGTGCTGGAGGTGCCGGTCAATACGGTGCTGGTTCTGGTGCAGGAGTTGGTCCCTCTATCGACATTGATATTTACTCCGGAGGTGCTGGAGGCGCTGGAGCAGGTATGTATGGCTCTGGTGCAGGAGGTGCTGGCGCTGCTGGTGGTGCCGGAGGTGCTGGTGGATTCATGTTCAACGGAATCCTCATTTCCGCCGGAGGTTCTTACAGTGTAACTCTACCTAGTGGTGCCACTGTTATCGTCTCTGGAGCTGCCATCTCACCAAACCCAAGCAATCCAGGAAGTGTCCTAGTTGCATATGGTGGATCAGTGCACGTCGTATTTGTTGTTTCTGCTGCTGGAGGTGCTGGACCTTCATCCGGTCCTTCTGGAGCTGGACTTATTTCACCATCTGGTGGTGCCGGTGGACTGTACGGTCCTGGTGCTGGTGGTGCTGGAGGTGCCGGTCAATACGGTGCTGGTTCTGGTGCAGGAGTTGGTCCCTCTATCGACATTGATATTTACTCCGGAGGTGCTGGAGGCGCTGGAGCAGGTATGTATGGCTCTGGTGCAGGAGGTGCTGGCGCTGCTGGTGGTGCCGGAGGTGCTGGTGGATTCATGTTCAACGGAATCCTCATTTCCGCCGGAGGTTCTTACAGTGTAACTCTACCTAGTGGTGCCACTGTTATCGTCTCTGGAGCTGCCATCTCACCAAACCCAAGCAATCCAGGAAGTGTCCTAGTTGCATATGGTGGATCAGTGCACGTCGTATTTGTTGTTTCTGCTGCTGGAGGTGCTGGACCTTCATCCGGTCCTTCTGGAGCTGGACTTATTTCACCATCTGGTGGTGCCGGTGGACTGTACGGTCCTGGTGCTGGTGGTGCTGGAGGTGCCGGTCAATACGGTGCTGGTTCTGGTGCAGGAGTTGGTCCCTCTATCGACATTGATATTTACTCCGGAGGTGCTGGAGGCGCTGGAGCAGGTATGTATGGCTCTGGTGCAGGAGGTGCTGGCGCTGCTGGTGGTGCCGGAGGTGCTGGTGGATTCATGTTCAACGGAATCCTCATTTCCGCCGGAGGTTCTTACAGTGTAACTCTACCTAGTGGTGCCACTGTTATCGTCTCTGGAGCTGCCATCTCACCAAACCCAAGCAATCCAGGAAGTGTCCTAGTTGCATATGGTGGATCAGTGCACGTCGTATTTGTTGTTTCTGCTGCTGGAGGTGCTGGACCTTCATCCGGTCCTTCTGGAGCTGGACTTATTTCACCATCTGGTGGTGCCGGTGGACTGTACGGTCCTGGTGCTGGTGGTGCTGGAGGTGCCGGTCAATACGGTGCTGGTTCTGGTGCAGGAGTTGGTCCCTCTATCGACATTGATATTTACTCCGGAGGTGCTGGAGGCGCTGGAGCAGGTATGTATGGCTCTGGTGCAGGAGGTGCTGGCGCTGCTGGTGGTGCCGGAGGTGCTGGTGGATTCATGTTCAACGGAATCCTCATTTCCGCCGGAGGTTCTTACAGTGTAACTCTACCTAGTGGTGCCACTGTTATCGTCTCTGGAGCTGCCATCTCACCAAACCCAAGCAATCCAGGAAGTGTCCTAGTTGCATATGGTGGATCAGTGCACGTCGTATTTGTTGTTTCTGCTGCTGGAGGTGCTGGACCTTCATCCGGTCCTTCTGGAGCTGGACTTATTTCACCATCTGGTGGTGCCGGTGGACTGTACGGTCCTGGTGCTGGTGGTGCTGGAGGTGCCGGTCAATACGGTGCTGGTTCTGGTGCAGGAGTTGGTCCCTCTATCGACATTGATATTTACTCCGGAGGTGCTGGAGGCGCTGGAGCAGGTATGTATGGCTCTGGTGCAGGAGGTGCTGGCGCTGCTGGTGGTGCCGGAGGTGCTGGTGGATTCATGTTCAACGGAATCCTCATTTCCGCCGGAGGTTCTTACAGTGTAACTCTACCTAGTGGTGCCACTGTTATCGTCTCTGGAGCTGCCATCTCACCAAACCCAAGCAATCCAGGAAGTGTCCTAGTTGCATATGGTGGATCAGTGCACGTCGTATTTGTTGTTTCTGCTGCTGGAGGTGCTGGACCTTCATCCGGTCCTTCTGGAGCTGGACTTATTTCACCATCTGGTGGTGCCGGTGGACTGTACGGTCCTGGTGCTGGTGGTGCTGGAGGTGCCGGTCAATACGGTGCTGGTTCTGGTGCAGGAGTTGGTCCCTCTATCGACATTGATATTTACTCCGGAGGTGCTGGAGGCGCTGGAGCAGGTATGTATGGCTCTGGTGCAGGAGGTGCTGGCGCTGCTGGTGGTGCCGGAGGTGCTGGTGGATTCATGTTCAACGGAATCCTCATTTCCGCCGGAGGTTCTTACAGTGTAACTCTACCTAGTGGTGCCACTGTTATCGTCTCTGGAGCTGCCATCTCACCAAACCCAAGCAATCCAGGAAGTGTCCTAGTTGCATATGGTGGATCAGTGCACGTCGTATTTGTTGTTTCTGCTGCTGGAGGTGCTGGAGGTGCTGGACCTTCATCCGGTCCTTCTGGAGCTGGACTTATTTCACCATCTGGTGGTGCCGGTGGACTGTACGGTCCTGGTGCTGGTGGTGCTGGAGGTGCCGGTCAATACGGTGCTGGTTCTGGTGCAGGAGTTGGTCCCTCTATCGACATTGATATTTACTCCGGAGGTGCTGGAGGCGCTGGAGCAGGTATGTATGGCTCTGGTGCAGGAGGTGCTGGCGCTGCTGGTGGTGCCGGAGGTGCTGGTGGATTCATGTTCAACGGAATCCTCATTTCCGCCGGAGGTTCTTACAGTGTAACTCTACCTAGTGGTGCCACTGTTATCGTCTCTGGAGCTGCCATCTCACCAAACCCAAGCAATCCAGGAAGTGTCCTAGTTGCATATGGTGGATCAGTGCACGTCGTATTTGTTGTTTCTGCTGCTGGAGGTGCTGGACCTTCATCCGGTCCTTCTGGAGCTGGACTTATTTCACCATCTGGTGGTGCCGGTGGACTGTACGGTCCTGGTGCTGGTGGTGCTGGAGGTGCCGGTCAATACGGTGCTGGTTCTGGTGCAGGAGTTGGTCCCTCTATCGACATTGATATTTACTCCGGAGGTGCTGGAGGCGCTGGAGCAGGTATGTATGGCTCTGGTGCAGGAGGTGCTGGCGCTGCTGGTGGTGCCGGAGGTGCTGGTGGATTCATGTTCAACGGAATCCTCATTTCCGCCGGAGGTTCTTACAGTGTAACTCTACCTAGTGGTGCCACTGTTATCGTCTCTGGAGCTGCCATCTCACCAAACCCAAGCAATCCAGGAAGTGTCCTAGTTGCATATGGTGGATCAGTGCACGTCGTATTTGTTGTTTCTGCTGCTGGAGGTGCTGGAGGTGCTGGACCTTCATCCGGTCCTTCTGGAGCTGGACTTATTTCACCATCTGGTGGTGCCGGTGGACTGTACGGTCCTGGTGCTGGTGGTGCTGGAGGTGCCGGTCAATACGGTGCTGGTTCTGGTGCAGGAGTTGGTCCCTCTATCGACATTGATATTTACTCCGGAGGTGCTGGAGGCGCTGGAGCAGGTATGTATGGCTCTGGTGCAGGAGGTGCTGGCGCTGCTGGTGGTGCCGGAGGTGCTGGTGGATTCATGTTCAACGGAATCCTCATTTCCGCCGGAGGTTCTTACAGTGTAACTCTACCTAGTGGTGCCACTGTTATCGTCTCTGGAGCTGCCATCTCACCAAACCCAAGCAATCCAGGAAGTGTCCTAGTTGCATATGGTGGATCAGTGCACGTCGTATTTGTTGTTTCTGCTGCTGGAGGTGCTGGACCTTCATCCGGTCCTTCTGGAGCTGGACTTATTTCACCATCTGGTGGTGCCGGTGGACTGTACGGTCCTGGTGCTGGTGGTGCTGGAGGTGCCGGTCAATACGGTGCTGGTTCTGGTGCAGGAGTTGGTCCCTCTATCGACATTGATATTTACTCCGGAGGTGCTGGAGGCGCTGGAGCAGGTATGTATGGTTCTGGTGCAGGAGGTGCTGGCGCTGCTGGTGGTGCCGGAGGTGCTGGTGGATTCATGTTCAACGGAATCCTCATTTCCGCCGGAGGTTCTTACAGTGTAACTCTACCTAGTGGTGCCACTGTTATCGTCTCTGGAGCTGCCATCTCACCAAACCCAAGCAATCCAGGAAGTGTCCTAGTTGCATATGGTGGATCAGTGCACGTCGTATTTGTTGTTTCTGCTGCTGGAGGTGCTGGACCTTCATCCGGTCCTTCTGGAGCTGGACTTATTTCACCATCTGGTGGTGCCGGTGGACTGTACGGTCCTGGTGCTGGTGGTGCTGGAGGTGCCGGTCAATACGGTGCTGGTTCTGGTGCAGGAGTTGGTCCCTCTATCGACATTGATATTTACTCCGGAGGTGCTGGAGGCGCTGGAGCAGGTATGTATGGCTCTGGTGCAGGAGGTGCTGGCGCTGCTGGTGGTACCGGAGGTGCTGGTGGATTCATGTTCAACGGAATCCTCATTTCCGCCGGAGGTTCTTACAGTGTAACTCTACCTAGTGGTGCCACTGTTATCGTCTCTGGAGCTGCCATCTCACCAAACCCAAGCAATCCAGGAAGTGTCCTAGTTGCATATGGTGGATCAGTGCACGTCGTATTTGTTGTTTCTGCTGCTGGAGGTGCTGGACCTTCATCCGGTCCTTCTGGAGCTGGACTTATTTCACCATCTGGTGGTGCCGGTGGACTGTACGGTCCTGGTGCTGGTGGTGCTGGAGGTGCCGGTCAATACGGTGCTGGTTCTGGTGCAGGAGTTGGTCCCTCTATCGACATTGATATTTACTCCGGAGGTGCTGGAGGCGCTGGAGCAGGTATGTATGGCTCTGGTGCAGGAGGTGCTGGCGCTGCTGGTGGTGCCGGAGGTGCTGGTGGATTCATGTTCAACGGAATCCTCATTTCCGCCGGAGGTTCTTACAGTGTAACTCTACCTAGTGGTGCCACTGTTATCGTCTCTGGAGCTGCCATCTCACCAAACCCAAGCAATCCAGGAAGTGTCCTAGTTGCATATGGTGGATCAGTGCACGTCGTATTTGTTGTTTCTGCTGCTGGAGGTGCTGGACCTTCATCCGGTCCTTCTGGAGCTGGACTTATTTCACCATCTGGTGGTGCCGGTGGACTGTACGGTCCTGGTGCTGGTGGTGCTGGAGGTGCCGGTCAATACGGTGCTGGTTCTGGTGCAGGAGTTGGTCCCTCTATCGACATTGATATTTACTCCGGAGGTGCTGGAGGCGCTGGAGCAGGTATGTATGGCTCTGGTGCAGGAGGTGCTGGCGCTGCTGGTGGTGCCGGAGGTGCTGGTGGATTCATGTTCAACGGAATCCTCATTTCTGCCGGAGGTTCTTACAGTGTAACTCTACCTAGTGGTGCAACTGTTATCGTCTCTGGAGCTGCCATCTCACCAAACCCAAGCAATCTAGGAAGTGTCCTAGTTGCATATGGTGGATCAGTGCACGTCGTATTTGTTGTTTCTGCTGCTGGAGGTGCTGGACCTTCATCCGGTCCTTCTGGAGCTGGACTTATTTCACCATCTGGTGGTGCCGGTGGACTGTACGGTCCTGGTGCTGGTGGTGCTGGAGGTGCCGGTCAATACGGTGCTGGTTCTGGTGCAGGAGTTGGTCCCTCTATCGACATTGATATTTCTTCCGGAGGTGCTGGAGGCGCTGGACCATACAGACCTACTTCTTCCGGACCTTACGGTCCTACTTCTGCCGGACCTTACGGACTTACTTCTACTGGACCTGCTTCTACTGGACCATACGGACCTGTTTCTGCCGGAACTTACGGACCTACTTCTGCTGGACCTGCGTCTGCTGGACCCTACGGACCTACTTCTGCTGGACCTGCTTCTGCTGGACCCTACGGACCTACTTCTGCTGGACTTGCGTCTGCTGGACCCTACGGAGTACCTTCATCTGTAGGACTTATTGATCCAGCTGGACCATACGGACCTGCTTCTGTTGGACCTTACGGACCTACTTTTGCTGGACCATACGGACCGACTTCTGTCGGACCATATGGCCCTGAGGGTCCTGGAGGTTTTATTCCAAGTCCTTGTGGTTTCATACCATCGCCTACTGGTGCACAAGCTTTCCTTTCTCCTGGAGGTCCTGGCTACATGTCTTCTGATCCCAGTTCATCTTCTGGAGACTCATCCTCTGATGATGGTGATTCTCCAACCAAGCTACCATATCCCACATACCCTGCTATGGGTGCTCCTAAGTTTATGTCTCAAGGATTGCCTCGTGGAACCAGATCCTTCCCCCTGTTTGTTATGTTCAACAATGATGGCTCTGTGAAACCTACCTACAAACCCGTGGCTAAGGTGACCATCTATGAAATCATTATTAGATTTTTGCCATTTTTCTATCATGATACGAAATACATTAACGATCGTACAAAAAATGTGTCAATGATTTAACTTTAATAAACGGTAGACTTTCCATTTTAAATTTGATACGTGATGATATCACTATGATAGCACTGTGGTAGCAGTATGAGATCACTATGGTATCACTGTGGTAGCACTGTGGTAGCACTGTGGTAGCACTGTGGTAGCACTGTGGTAGCACTGTGGTAGCACTGTGGTAGCACTGCGGTAGCACTGTGGTAGCACTGTGGTAGCACTGTGGTAGCACTGTGGTAGCACTGTGGTAGCACTGTGGTAGCACTGTGGTAGCACTGTGGTAGCACTGTGGTAGCACTGTGGTAGCACTGTGGTAGCACTGTAGCAGCACTGTGGTAGCACTGTGGTAGCACTGTGGTAGCACTGTGGTAGCACTGTGGTAGCACTGTGGTAGCACTGTGGTAGCACTGTGGTAGCACTGTGGTAGCACTGTGGTAGCACTGTGGTAGCACTGTGGTAGCACTGTGGTAGCACTGTGGTAGCACTGTGGTAGCACTGTGGTAGCACTGTGGTAGCACTGTGGTAGCACTGTGGTAGCACTGTGGTAGCACTGTGGTAGCACTGTGGTAGCACTGTGGTAGCACTGTGGTAGCACTGTGGTAGCACTGTGGTAGCACTGTGGTAGCACTGTGGTAGCACTGTGGTAGCACTGTGGTAGCACTGTGGTAGCACTGTGGTAGCACTGTGGTAGCACTGTGGTAGCACTGTGGTAGCACTGTGGTAGCACTGTGGTAGCACTGTGGTAGCACTGTGGTAGCACTGTGGTAGCACTGTGGTAGCACTGTGGTAGCACTGTGGTAGCACTGTGGTAGCACTGTGGTAGCACTGTGGTAGCACTGTGGTAGCACTGTGGTAGCACTGTGGTAGCACTGTGGTAGCACTGTGGTAGCACTGTGGTAGCACTGTGGTAGCACTGTGGTAGCACTGTGGTAGCACTGTGGTAGCACTGTGGTAGCACTGTGGTAGCACTGTGGTAGCACTGTGGTAGCACTGTGGTAGCACTGTGGTAGCACTGTGGTAGCACTGTGGTAGCACTGTGGTAGCACTGTGGTAGCACTGTGGTAGCACTGTGGTAGCACTGTGGTAGCACTGTGGTAGCACTGTGGTAGCACTGTGGTAGCACTGTGGTAGCACTGTGGTAGCACTGTGGTAGCACTGTGGTAGCACTGTGGTAGCACTGTGGTAGCACTGTGGTAGCACTGTGGTAGCACTGTGGTAGCACTGTGGTAGCACTGTGGTAGCACTGTGGTAGCACTGTGGTAGCACTGTGGTAGCACTGTGGTAGCACTGTGGTAGCACTGTGGTAGCACTGTGGTAGCACTGTGGTAGCACTGTGGTAGCACTGTGGTAGCACTGTGGTAGCACTGTGGTAGCACTGTGGTAGCACTGTGGTAGCACTGTGGTAGCACTGTGGTAGCACTGTGGTAGCACTGTGGTAGCACTGTGGTAGCACTGTGGTAGCACTGTGGTAGCACTGTGGTAGCACTGTGGTAGCACTGTGGTAGCACTGTGGTAGCACTGTGGTAGCACTGTGGTAGCACTGTGGTAGCACTGTGGTAGCACTGTGGTAGCACTGTGGTAGCACTGTGGTAGCACTGTGGTAGCACTGTGGTAGCACTGTGGTAGCACTGTGGTAGCACTGTGGTAGCACTGTGGTAGCACTGTGGTAGCACTGTGGTAGCACTGTGGTAGCACTGTGGTAGCACTGTGGTAGCACTGTGGTAGCACTGTGGTAGCACTGTGGTAGCACTGTGGTAGCACTGTGGTAGCACTGTGGTAGCACTGTGGTAGCACTGTGGTAGCACTGTGGTAGCACTATAGTATAAACGTATAGTCACAATATTACCGAACGCATTTCAGGACAAGAGGCCTATAGTGGTGATACCTGCAAGTATGATGAACAGACCTTCACGTCGACCAACTGACGCACCCTCTTGTAATATCAGTGGAACTCCCGTCTACCCTGACAGATTCTACCAGGTTTATTAAATAAATAGACTTAATTAACTTGATTAGCTAATTTAATTTTTTGGTTCATTTGCTCAATCAACTTGTCGTATTTCCCTAAGATCGCTTAGACTACTTGGGTCCGGTGGTATGTTAAAACTAGAAACTTGTCATGTTATAACTATAAACCTTAGTATGTTAATACTGTTAAATTTGTTAGGTTAATATCAAAGGAAACTCTGCTGTAATTCCTGGAAGGTACTTTAGAAATAGAGCGGCTCGACCTGGAACCTTCTCAGTGAAGATCAATGGACAGCGTATCAAGGTATTTTTTAAACAAAATACTTTTACAGGCCAAACTCCATTATTTGATATGATTTCACAGTAAATACAACCAAACTCACATTTTGAACAATGAACATGATATAAACTGAAATGCGATAGTTTCTATTGTTTTAATCAAACATTCTTTTTCTCAAGCCACTGATTGATAATAATATAATCCCTTCTCCCACAATAACAACCCCTCCCAGGTACCAGCTGCAATCGCACTGTCAGAGGTCAGTTTTAGCTACAAAGGAGCAGGATCCTCTGTTCCCTCTGGAGCTAACTTAGTCGCAATACCTGCTGACGGGTGTTTACCCAGAGGATACCAGGCCGTCTGTTCCATCGGGGGTAACCAGGTCAATTGGCACATTTGGATTATATTTAGAATTTCAAACTTCTACTCTCATAAGTTTCTTGATTATTTACCGCTTGTGATGTCCAATGAATACCCTAGCAACATGCGCCTGTGTATCAGGGAGGCAATATTCTTCTTCATGACAATATCAGCAATTGTCTAGACATTATCAGATGTATTCCATCTCTGGTGACCATTAGTTAACACTTTAACAGTATTCCATCTCAGGTGTCTATCGACAGGAAGCACATGAGGATGAGTAACAGTAGGCCAGGTCAGATGGTGGTGAAACATGGTGATACCACCCACCTGGTAGCGGTCAATGCTATCAAGATGCAGTCCTGCTCTTAAACCGCTTTATTATCGGCAAAGAGTTAAAACAAATAACCGAAGAAGAGCGAATGATTAAAGAACTTTATTTACAGTGATGAATCTCAAATATAATTTTTGTTTTTCTGTAGTTAGAATTTAGTTTAAATTTTTGGGTGTTGAAAATCGTGATTTAAACGTTTATTCGTTTGAGTATTTACTATTTGTTCAACAATTTGATTTAAATGTTTGTTATTCTACTGTACTAATTCATTAATGTATGTACATAATAAGAAGGTTTGTTTTACTTATTATCATAAAGCTATTAATTCCATACAGCATATATTTACACAAACAAATTTTCAAGATCAATATGATCCAAGGTCAATGTGATCCGAGGTGGACAGTTTCATTTCACTTTGACTGATCATGTCTTGCAATCCAGGGATGATAGCTGATATTCTTATAAGAAACTCTATCGTTCTCGTTCTTCTCCAAACACCGCTCTATCAGGTCTAAACAGTAGTTTGAGGCTGGATCATCAGTAGGGCTGGGCAGGGAATATGTCAGATCTTTGTAGAGGACTTCTTCCACGTCTACGAAGGGAACTTCTCCGAATATCATGCAGTAGAGGAGACAACCTAGTGCCCAGACAGTTCCACCGAGAGGGTCGTAGCTGCGTTTGATGAAGAACTCTGGAGGCATGAAGATGTCTGTTCCCTTGTCCTCGTTCACTTTTGTGTTTGCTCGCACGAAACTGGAAATTCCAAAGTCTATAAGCTTGACTTGGTGGTTGGACCAGTGCACGAGGATGTTGTCTGTTTTGACATCTCTGTGGACGACGTTCTGTCGGAAGCAGTAGGTGAGCGCCTTGTAGGTCTGTATAAATATCTTCCTGGATGTGAGCTGAGAGAGGGTATTGTTGTAATGAATGTAGGAAGTGAGGTCCAGGTACCCAACACAGTGTTCCATCACCATGCACCAGGATCCGCCGCTCTTCAGGAACCCACTCGTTTTGATGATGTTGGTGTGGGACATGCTCATTGCGATGTAGATCTCCAAAGGTAGGTCTCCCACTGGGGTGGTCACGTACTCACGGACTCTCTTCTTCTTGATCTTCTTTACGGCTACAGTAGTGTTGTCTTGCTTCCTCCGAGCCAGATAGACTGTCCCATAGCCTCCAGATCCTAACTTCTGCAAAACGTCAAAGTGTGTCAAGAGGGGTGTAGGGAAGAAATACTTTTTGATTGCTGCGAACATATTATTGGAAATGGAAGTGGTAGTGAACAAAGGTAGACAGATACGATGATGGCTTATGACGAATTGAAACTGTTTTTATACCCTCTCGGTTTTCTCGTTAGCCTAATAGCTGCATCAGCTCGTTAGACCAGACTGGTTTGGATTACATCCGTCCTGTAAAACACGTGATCGGAATGTGAAATCAGTGATCACGTGTACAGTGATTAAGTGTGCGGTGATCACAAGTGCATTAGCGTGGGACCCGGTACGCACACATGATTTGAGATCTCGTCACACTGATCACTAGATCTGCATGGATTGGGACTCTAAATTCCGTAGACCCTGTCAGACTTAACTTTGAAATGTTGCTTATTGATTGAGAGTCGTACCTGAACAGCCTTTCTTTGGATAAAGTGCAATAACTTTTTAATTGATTTGTTGAATATTATTTGATCAGACCCCATATATATTTTATGTATATATATTATTGAATAAAGTTCCATGATACTGTAATTTGCACCAGATTGTAAAACACTCAGATTGTCCCAACAATTATTGTATTTGTTACATTTAGCTAGGTCTTAAATAATTCAATTACAATTTTCTACACTTAAATTCATCGTTACACTAAATTTTTTCAACTATACTTACCATATGGAACTTTGGAAGTGTTCGGAGTTTTGGAAGGGTTACGGACTCCTTCCTGGCAAAACTGTTACCAACTACAAGAACCCTTTCCAGAAATTAACCAGTTCGGACTCATGACTGGAGCTATTGCATATTGCTTACGTATTGGAAGCCAACGTCTTTCGAAAATTAGCAACAATTTAACAATTCATACCATATTTTTGATTCGAAATGTGTCGTATACGGATCAGATTTCAAATTCGGAGAGCAGTTATTGTTTTTCGGTCACCTGATTCGGACAAAAGCCGTGTTAAACATATTTAACCCGGGCACAGTCCAGTGGTTAAGAATCTTATCACTCTGTTAGGTTCTTTCGTAATCCCTTACAGATACCAGGACTGTACACCGGTTAACTTTGAATCATGAATGCAGAGACTTAATTCTGATATACTACAAGAGGGATAGATATAATAGAAAGAAATAAGTTTGAATGTAATTGAATAGAATAATATGCTAATTGCTAGAGACTGATTATACTTGCGGTGAGTATTTAGCTTCTTATGTTTATCAATTCATCTCAATCTTATCTTACTGACCAAGGATGTCTGGCCCCTTCAAGTTTTAGAACCGAGTTTGGTACGCTTTGGTGTGTGTATACAGTCGACTGTTTTACTGTGTTATAACCTTATCGCACTTTGGGTTGACAAATTTAATGAACGGACATGTCGTGAGTGGACATAATTATGGAGTTAAGGGCATTAACCCCCCCCCCCCCCCCCCCCAGCTATACTCATGTAATGCAATGTTCCCCCAATATAATGTCCGATAAGGTATACTCCAATATATTCATTATTCATGTATCATGGATAGTAATTGTGCTCGTAACGAGGCCGAATCAAACTTCCAGCACCTCAATCGTGTCATTTGGCATCTATAGTTGACTGACTAATTGGTTGCAGGTCAGAAATTCGGCCGAAACTGTAAAATTTCGGCCCTGGAAATTTCAGCTCCAAAAACTGAAAATGGGACAGAGTATGGAACAGTATGATTTTCCAATTTTTTTCGAGATTTTGATTTCCAGTACCCCAATTTGGTTTTATACCATCATCAATTAACTGACTAATTGGTTTGTGGGCAAAAATTTCATCCAATCTGTAAAATGTGCGTTCAGAAATTTTCTTTTCTGAAAATGGGAACGAGTTTTGAAAAAACAACTTTTCGTTTTGTTAAGATTTCTGCTGTGAGCTTCCTCCGACCCGAATCAAACTTCCAGCACCTCAATCGTGTCATTTGGCATCTATAGTTGACTGACTAATTGGTTGCAGGTCAGAAATTCGGCCGAAACTGTAAAATTTCGGCCCTGGAAATTTCAGCTCCAAAAACTGAAAATGGGACAGAGTATGGAACAGTATGATTTTCCAATTTTTTTCGAGATTTTGATTTCCAGTACCCCAATTTGGTTTCATACCATCATCAATTAACTGACTAATTGGTTTGTGGGCACAAATTTCATCCAATCTGTCAAATGTGCGTTCAGAAATTTTCATATCTGAAAATGGGACAGAGTTTTGAAAATACAACTTTTCGTTTTCTTAAGATTTCTGCTGTGAGCTTCCTCCGACCCGAATCAAACTTCCAGCACCTCAATCGTGTCATTATGCATCTATATTTGACTGACTAATTGGTTGCAGGTCAGAAATTCGGTCGAAACTGTAAAATTTCGGCCCTGGAAATTTCAGCTCCAAAAACTGAAAATGGGACAGAGTATGGGACAGTATGATTTTCCAATTTTTTTCGAGATTTTGATTTTCAGTACCCCAATTTGGTTTCATACCATCATCAATTAACTGACTAATTGGTTTGTGGGCACAAATTTCATCCAATCTGTCAAATGTGCGTTCAGAAATTTTCATATCTGAAAATGGGACAGAGTTTTGAAAATACAACTTTTCGTTTTCTTAAGATTTCTGCTGTGAGCTTCCTCCGACCCGAATCAAACTTCCAGCACCTCAATCGTGTCATTTGGCATCTATATTTGACTGACTAATTGGTTGCAGGTCAGAAATTCGGTCGAAACTGTAAAATTTCGGCCCTGGAAATTTCAGCTCCAAAAACTGAAAATGGGACAGAGTATGGGACAGTATGATTTTCCAATTTTTTTCGAGATTTTGATTTCCAGTACCCCAATTTGGTTTCATACCATCATCAATTAACTGACTAATTGGTTTGTGGGCACAAATTTCATCCAATCTGTCAAATGTGCGTTCAGAAATTTTCATATCTGAAAATGGGACAGAGTTTTGAAAATACAACTTTTCGTTTTGTTAAGATTTCTGCTGTGAGCTTCCTCCGACCCGAATCAAACTTCCAACACCTCAATCGTGTCATTTGTTATCTATAGTTGACTGACTAATTGGTTGCAGGTCAGAAATTCGGCCGGAACTGTACAATTTCGGCCCTGGAAATTTCAGCTCCAAAAACTGAAAATGGGACAGAGTATGGACAGTATGATTTTCCAATTTTTTTCGAGATTTTGATTTTCAGTACCCCAATTTGGTTTCATACCATCATCAATTAACTGACTAATTGGTTTGTGGGCAAAAATTTCATCCAATCTATCAAATGTGCGTTCAGAAATTTTCATATCTGAAAATGGGACAGAGTTTTGAAAATACAACTTTTCGTTTTGTTAAGATTTCTGCTGTGAGCTTCCTCCGACCCGAATCAAACTTCCAGCACCTCAATCGTGTCATTTGGCATCTATATTTGACTGACTAATTGGTTGCAGGTCAGAAATTCGGTCGAAACTGTAAAATTTCGGCCCTGGAAATTTCAGCTCCAAAAACTGAAAATGGGACAGAGTATGGGACAGTATGATTTTCCAATTTTTTTCGAGATTTTGATTTCCAGTACCCCAATTTGGTTTCATACCATCACCAATTAACTAACTAATTGGTTTGTGGGCAAAAATTTCATCCGATCTGTCAAATGTGCACACAGTGTGTGTAGTGTGTGTAGCTTACGTTGCAATTATCAAGCTCTCTTATCTTTTGTAACTTTGCGATAAGTTCAGTTTGCTGCTACCGCGTAGTAAGCCTTTGCGTGTGTATACTTGTACATTACTATACAATGTACACCACGGAGGATGATCTACATTTGACCCGATCTCAGAAGAAACTCAAGGATTTCAACTATGAAGAAAAGGAAGATGTAGAGGGCTGTGCTGATAGATGGTTCACTTCGATGGCAAGTCTACTGAAATTAGAAAACTTCGAAATTCGTGGAGATATGGACCAAGAAATTCTCATGTCTCCGTCTATCTATAAAAGGTATATGGCAGAATGGGTTATGCAAGCAGCAGACCTCGTACGACGGCAGAGTAGTCAGATGAGCGCTATGATGGAAATCGTTGAGTGCCTCAAGACGGAAGCACTAGCAGACAAGGAAAAGATGGTCAGGTTGCAGGACCAGTTGCTAGTGCAGAAGGACGAACAACTACAGTTGTTAAGGACGTCAGTTGAAGAGACAGTACAAACAACGGTGGAGACAGGGATTAAGAGCTACAGTGCCGCTGTACAAAAGAACAGCACAAATGGCGCGGTCTGCAACAGTAAAATTCTGAAGAATGTTATGAAGAGTGTGGCTGCAGAGGAGGACAGGAGCAAGAATCTGATAGTGTTTGGACTGAAAGAAGAGGATGGAGAACAGCTTCCAGCTCTGGTAGCCGCAGTATTGGAGGAGATTGGGGAGAAACCTCATTTTGAAGCGACTAGAGTCGGCTGGAAGAGGCCAGGTATCACGGCTATCCGACCAGTCAAGATCACCGTCCCAAGCTCAACAGCAGTTCATCAGATTCTGATGAAAACAGGGAGACTGAGGATGGCTGATGCACACAAAGATGTATGGATCTGTCCTGATAGATCCAGTGAAGAGCGTGCAGCAAGGAAGAACGTGGTAACTGACCTGAAGAAGAAGAGGGCTGAACAGACTCATCTCGACCACTACATCCGTAACGGGAAGGTCTGTAGCCGTGTTAAGAAGGCACCATGATGACGTAATTCATGTTTCTCGGACACCACCGATCAGTATAATATGTACTTGTAGGAGTATTTTAAGAGTTTACGGACGTTATCTGTATTTGAGAGACAATTATATTATATAAATACATTATTATTTGATTGTTTCACACTTTTCACGTTTCATAATTTTATCACTAGGTGGAGGTGATGTTATTGAGACTTTTGGCGGCCAAAAAACTTCTTTTCTGAAAGTTGTCCTCTGTACTTGTTTCACTGACCCACGCTTTTTAGCATTTATACATTTCGGCCCATTTTATATGTTTGTTCGAATTGCTGTACATTTGTATACTTGCTATTTTGTAAAAGTTTCAAATC